AAACCTGTTTGGTAGGAGTGTTGCATCCCCACGAGTATAACGTGCTTTCCGAAGCAATCTTCACTTTTGCTTCAGTTTCAACACCATACACTAGTGTCTTTGATAAAATCCGAACCGTTTGAACCCATCTTTCCACTTGCAATCCTTGCCTTGATGCTAACATTTCTTCTCAGTGAAATCATTGCTGGTTTCGTGCCTGTTCTCAGTATCACTTTGGAATTTAGCAACATCAACACTCGGCAAGCTTCCTCAACCAAGTAAGCTGTTGCTTCTCTGCTTGCAACCGGTATCACATGTACAAACTTTGCTGCTTGATCAACCATCACCAAACCGATTGTCAATGCATCTTTTCCGTCTGCTGGATTTTCCTCATCTCTCGCTCCAGTGATCTTGAAATCCATAGAAACCAATGATGCTTCATTCGTCTTCTCAGATACTTCAAAGGTATCTTCTCGCGATCTCGTAGCTTGGCAACTCGTACACCCATCTGCTTTTGGCACGTGTGTGAGTTTCGTGTTTCTTCCTCTCTTCTTCTGTCGGTTCCTGTGGTCTGTTCTTTCCTTTCGGTTCCCTTGAAAAATTCCACTTCCAATCCTTTGGAAAGTTCAACCAGTTCTTTCATCTTGTTCGGTGCAACACACTCCTTGAGACGTTTGCAAAATTTGAGCTTTGCTTCCAGTCTTTCCGATCGTATTCACATGCGGTTCCAAGCTTCTTCAGCGTGCTGTCAGGTGTAAGTTCAACTCCTGCAACAATCATTGCTTCATCTTCCTTCTTTCTTAAGCTTGGCAGTTTGTCTTCAGCCTTCTTTCTCTCGCCTTCATCTATCGTTGGAGGTTCACTTGGAAACAAATCTTCCATCGCTTTCTTGTTTTCTTCCTCCATCTCTTCCAATGTTTTCTTCTTTGTCCTAGCTGGACTCTCCTCTCCAACTTCCATTTCCACATCTTTCTGAACTTCTTCTCTCTGTTTCTCTTCTTCTTTCCTTTTCCTTTTCGGCCTTTCATAATCTCCATACTCTTCAAGTCCTACAGACTTCCTATCGAGAATCGTGATGGTCACTGGGTTTTCCTTGGCCAATTCAGTTTGTATCTCTTCACTTCCTTTCCGCTCTTCTGCGCATTCGAGGAATTCCAACAACTCTTCCCACACAATTTCTTCTCCTTGGTACCTTGTAAGCAATGTCGTCCGACACTTGAACGTCGTAACCGAATCTCCTGACGGATCATAAGTCACATTGCGACCCCCATCAAATCGCACTGGCTTTCCATCTGACATGATAAACCATCCTTCATGATACTTCATCTTTTCAAGATCATCTGGCATCTGCTTGATCAGTGTGAGTTTTCTCACTGTTGTAACTTCTTCCACTGCTTCTTTCACCTGAGCTCTGTAAATCTTCAATTCGGTAACCATTGAGTTCCTTACAAACCTTACCGGCACTCTTGTCGATCCTTTCTTCAAGTATGCATTCCATTCGTCTATGGGGTCGAGTCCCCATCCAACTTTCCAAAGCTTGCCTACTGCAAACAATGGTCGCGTAACATCACCGAACTTCGCTGAATCTCTCACTTTGAATACTCTTCCATCTGTCCCTTGGAATTCGAACGTGATGTTCGCACTTGTTTCAGTTGTCTTGACCCTGTTTCCTTGAGCATCTTGAATGACCATCCTTAGTGCTGGAAACTCTACTGTACCTAAGTCTTCACTATAGTACGCCAGAGGTAACACATGGCAACCTGCTCCACATGGCATTAACTGCTCTAACTGTCTCTTCTTCTGAATCCAAAAAACCAGGACTTGGAATCTCAAACGGCTTCACCATCTAATCTTGTTTGTCTTCACTCCCCTTCACGATCTCTTCACCTGGCTTTGCTCTCTCAGGTTTGAGTCAACTTGGGTATCTGCATACCACTTATACATGTCATCTTCCTTGTAATCTTCAGCGTCGGATAATCCGGTGCAATCCGTTCCGGACAACAACTCGCACAAGCTCCACTGTCGAACAGCATCCAAGTTTTGTCGACCAGTCCAGCTTGCATGTGAAACTCAAGCAAGCTGTCGTCAAAACCAATCGCATCATTCTTGGGCGTTTGCTTCAAGTTTGGCACACTCTGAGTCGGCATTGGTGGCACTCCGGAACTCAGTGCGCCAATCGGCAAGCACGCTCCAACGAACAGGTTCGTCATCAGTCCGGGCTTTGCTCCCCGAACAGTCTTCGACACTCTGGGCGCACTCTGATCCGACGATTCGACAGTCACAGCTGACACATTCTGTGGTGGTTCATTCTTGGCGACGGCCTGACGGACATTCGAACCTGAGCTCGCGGCACCATTCGAGCTCTGTGGCTGAACCTCAGCAGAACTTGTCCTTTTCCGTTACCTTTCATTGCTTGTCCTTTTCCTTTGTATCCTTTGCTCTTTCCTTGGCATTTTCCTTCGATCCTTTTCCTTTCCTTTGGTACATTCCTTTACCTCCTTCGTATCCTTTGCCCTTCATTATTTCAGTGCTCTTATGTCCATGTCGTCTTGCACTTGGTGGTGGTTGTCAATCCTACCACTCGGCACAGTCAGGTGTCTACTCTTGATGTAGCTGTAGATGATCTCCAGGCCCTCAGTGAACGTGTTGATGTTCCTGACATTCAACCTCAAATGCTCCTGCAACGGACCAACTGTCTTCTGCATTAGCAACGTCACTAAGAGGTCATTGTCCAACGGTCTTCCAGTCGTCTTCTCATGCTGGTTCTTCAATATGATAAACTCACTCCGATCACTCTCCAAGTGGTCCTTGCGCAAGCAGCGGAAGCCAATGATCTCATTTAAGAGATTCGTGGATCCCGCGCGCTCTGGCAGTGAAAACTGATTGCGCAATCTGCTCCAGGTTTCGAATCCATTCTCCGTGTCCTAATAGCGAGCAATCTCACGAGCGGCGCCATCAGTGATTTGTGCCCACATATACGCCAGTTGCCTACAGGACAGTGAAAGCTGATCATTCTGCAGAAGTCCTGCGTGAACATTTAAAGCTTCACACAAATCATGAGTGATTGTTCGGTTGGCTCCTTCAACATCGTCCATTAGCAGTTTGGCATTTCTCCAGCTCTCCATGATACACTGGTGGCGGGAACAGTTTGATTTCTCCTTCAATCTCGCTGGTTCCGAACTCCATTCTCTCTCAGTCCCTGATTCCAGAGCCGAAGCTCCGCTACCATGCAAATTCAACAGTACAATCTAGGGATACCGAGCACCAAGATCAATCACTTTCCCCCTAGTCACTCAAGCAGACATTCCTTTGTGACGTCAAGCCAATCTCTTCAGACTTGAGCTAATGCAATTCGGCATCGTGGCATTCTGAAATGCATCATGACCACTAGGTGCATCGGATTGGGCCAGTTGGCGCATTTTTATCTCTCAGACACCGGGCAAGTATAAAGGCGCTGTGAAGCGGGCCCAGGCTCTTGATGTGCATAGGCACACTGTCCTAGCTGCCCTCTCCGGCCTTCACCGTGCCCTTCTCCTCGTTTGCAGCCCGGCTACTGAGACTTCTGTCGCGCCTCCCCCGACCACATTATGCAGAGGTCTGCCTAGTATGCCGACGAGCTTTTCACAGCCGTCTCGCATGGGCTGGTCACAGTGCTCGTAAGCACGGTTACCGCTCACACGCACATCTTTGTGCGACAGGCACTACCTGCTGCGCCTGTGGTCGAAGCTACTCCAGCCTTGGCAGACTTCGTCGGCATTTGGTGTCCAGCCCCCAATGCGTTCTTAATTGGGGCCGCTTTGTTCCCGATTGCACTGGCCGGAGCGACGCTCCACACCCCTTGGCATATCCAGCTGCAGTGCCTGGTTGTTATCAGCTTGAGTTTGAGCCGAGCATTCGACTTGATGTTGTGGCCAGGCTCCTCGCTGATTTGAATGCCATCTCTCCGGTCAGTGAGGATGAGGCTTGGGCTGCCATCTCCTCCTATGTGGAACCACTTGACGCGCTTCGCGCTACGGTTTCTGCCTGGAAGTCGGAGGATCCCAGTTGTGCGGACAGATCCTCTACGGCTGATAACATGTTGCTCCTCCTGGACGTCGATCTTCTGGCGGAGACATATCAGCCTTGCCGCCCCGCGCGTGCTTTCCCGCAAGATGATGCCCCTGTTTGGACTTGCCCTGGACGTATGGCCTTCGCCATTAGTGGCACGCCCCGCACCTTCCGTGTTGAGCCGCCGCCCCCCTACGTCCTCAGGCACGACATCCCTACCAGTCTTCGTCTCCGTGAAGCTGTTGCGTACACCACCTGGTTGGAGGCCACTTGCAGGACCGTCGCACATTGTCTCACTGCTGCCGCGAGTCAGCCCTGCCGTTTCGTCTGCCCTGGAGTTCTCAGTGCCTTAGGCCCTGCTAAGGATTGGCTCCTGGCAGCAGGCTTTCAGCCGATGGATTTCGGCTTTCGCACGCCGTGCGATTGAAGTCTCACCAGAATTTAGATGCATAGGCGAGCGCTCGAACCGAGCTCTACCGCTGCGAATGGAAAAAACTAGGTGCATCATTGGGCTCGTGTCATTTAACAGAGAGAGAGCGAGAGGGAGAGAGCGAGAGGGAGAGAGAGAGAGAGAGAAGCTCCCAGTCGGGGAGGTGCAAGAACGCATCCCCAGTTACGAGGACTGCCTCGAATCTAGACAACCACGGTGCCGTCACGGAAAGACGTTGTTGACACTCTTTTTTTAGGATGGGCGCACTCATGGTTGGATTTTGTATAGTTACGAGCTGCTGGATGATCCCCCTTGCTGCCAGATGTTTGTGTCACTGGATGTCCGATCGTGAAACAGGTTGCTGCGAATGTGCATACCTGCTCAACTTGACTGTTTGCAAAAACCAAGGGTCACCTGGGTACAGGGATGACACACACACAGAGACAGAGCGCACATCACCGTACACCAGCCTCAGTTTCTGCAAAGCTGCACATTACTACGCTTGCTAAAGGAAGATAGCGCTGGAAAGACCTGAGACCCCAACCTTCAGGTCGCGCGCCTGCGTCCTGCAGGCACGTGGATTCGTGGATAAAGCTTAGGAAACAGCCCCGGCCCCGGACCTCCGAGGCATTCGCCATTCCGGCAGTGGTTGCGCGCCATGCAGGCCATGCATGCTAGAGGCATGCTATCCCCATGCTATCGCTTCATCTCGACTCTCAAGCCTGCAAGGAGCAATTCCAAAAGCAGTCCACTTGTGGTTTGGCGTCGTGACGGGCGTCGGCCCGGAATTACTGGGATTTACTCAAAAACAAATTATCAGGAGATAAATGCGAGTTAAGTACGAGAACAGATGCAATACCAAATACACTTCAAACACGAGAAAATACGAAACAATATGAGAAACATACGGGTGGAGTGTTCGACATCAAAACGGAAAACGGGTACAAGACAAGCACAAGACAAATACCAGAACAAATTCGATAAAGCACAATAACATCTACGATAAACATACGAGGCAAAATACAAGCGAACAACAAAGCAAAACAACGTACATGTTTTCACAATTGTTCGCATTGTTATTGTTGTTCTTACTTGTTTTCGTAGTTACGAGACCATGTGAGAGGCATGCCAAGACACATGCGAGAACGAAGCACAGTAGTATCACGACAGAAAGACCTGTGAGAATGCTACGAGGGAAGTGCAGAAACGCACTGTGTCACGTGTAAGACATGGGTTGTTCAGGGTTGCGCTCTGCGAGGGCCATGACAAGGGCGCAATCAGGACATGAACAGCTTAGTACTAGGTCTTCGGGTGTAAACCCGTAAGGATGTGAACGGGCAGGGGAACCTGCGCATAAATGGGCAGTGGCCTGGCTGTGGGGCTGGGGAGCTGGGGTTCGGGCTGGGGCTTGGGGCTGTGGCTCAGTGCAGCCATGGGATTTCGCTTTTTTTGCTTGCAATTTACTCGGGCTTGCTCCTTGTGTGCGTATTTCTCTCGCATTTCTCCGGTGACACTGGTACACTTCTCGTATTGCTCTGGTGACACAGAGAAGTACCTCTCGTGTTTTCTCTGGTATTTCCTGGTGACACTGGTATACCTCTCCTAGTCTTGTTCGTATTTCTGTGGAACCGCTCGTATTGTATTCCGGCTCGTTTTTTTCCCGAATTTTCCTAGGAAAAACACGAGCGAACAAGAATACGAGCGGAAACACGAGAGATAGACAGACCAGAGGCCCCAGAGAAATGCGAGAGAAATACGACTGGACAGTGTCACCGTGTCACCAAGCAAACACGAAAGAAATACGAGCCACCAGCCCCAGCCCCACAGCCAGGCCACCAGCCCCTGTTTCCCTGTCTCACTCTCTCTCCTCCTTTGCCTTACTCCTACGGGCTGCGGCTACGGCCTACGCTGTCCGAATAGTAAGTACCTGGCACCTAGTATTACCTCGGGACATATATATATATATATATATATATGTATATATATATATATATATGTATGAATGTATGTATATATATACAGGTATAGATATACAAATCTATGTGTACATATACATGGATATTTTCTTATACTATACTGTATTATATTACATGATACTATGCTATATTATATGGTTTACAGTATGTTGTATTATGTCATGTTATGTTATATTATACTCCGCTATGTTATATCAGACTATGCTGTACAAAACTAGTTACAGTATGTAGATCTCCAGCTTACTGCTGGCGTGCCTCTTGAATGAATATGTGATGTGATTTCCTTCCAGTGTTCTTGCATCTGTCAGCTATTGTTCTGTGTGTCTTATGTTTGGCTGCCATTTCCCCTATGGGCTGCGGCAACTTTGTCTTTGGTTGTTAGTGTTTCCTTCTTATGTCGTTTCATGCATTTCCTCTTGTTATTGTATCCTTCTTGTATTTTATCTTGTAGTTCTCTTGCATAATCTATTATGTTTGTTCTTGTATTATTATGATTATTGTATTTGCTTCGCTTGAAATTATCACTTGTATTTCTCTTGGATGATTTCTTGTAACTGTTATTGTAGTTTTCTTGTATTCGCTTTGCCGTCTTGAATTGTCTTGTGAGTCTTGTGACTCTTAGCGTACTGTTTGTCTATTGTCTGCTGCTGGTGGATTGCCGCTCGTATTTCCGCGTGTGTTCCCGCTCGTATTCCCGCTCGTTTCTCGTGTTTCCCAGTGTGTTCCCGCAGGTATTCATTTCGCATTCTAGTCGGCTCCTCACAAATGCAGCGCTCCCGGTTACATCTCGCCTTTTCTCTGCTTGATCAGACAGATCCGACTAGCTGTCCAAGGTGGGCTCAGCCGTAGCTTCTTCCTCCGCAACCTCGGCAGCCTCCTCGGCAGCCTCCTCGGCAGCCTCCTCGGCAGCCTCCTCGGCAGCCTCCTCCGCAGCCTCCTCCGCAGCCTCCTCCGCAGCCTCCTCCGCAGCCTCCTCGGCAGCCTCCTCGGCAGCCTCCTCGGCAGCCTCCTCGGCAGCCTCCTCACCAGCGGCTACGGCTTCGGCGCCGTCCTCGTTGGAATTCTTGGTGGCCGTATCGGGGTCTTCCGTTGCATCCACAGTCAAGACCTCTCCTAGGTGCATCGTCTCACGTGGTCTCATGCAGCTCTGGAACGCGCTCTCTCTCAGCCAGGCCTTCCTCTTGCATGTCACCTCCCTCGGTGCCCGTTGCTTGCACCTTTCAGGTAAATCATTGCCAAGCACTGCAAGCACTGCGGCATAATCCCCAGGCCGCAGACGGGCTCGGCTTTGGCGGATTTGGGCTTGGGAATCTCCGGAGTCAGTTCCTGTCCAAGCTGACTTCGCGACTTTCCATGGCCGCCATTGCTTCGTGGCTTCGGCGGGGATGGCCTGGACCAAGAAGGGCGTCCCTTGGTTCCCAGCGATGGTGGCCCAGCCGGTGGCGCTGTCCTTCAAGGACAGCACACCGCTTGAAACTGCGGTGAACGAAGCAACGGAGCGTGGTGCCGTCGCCGTGGCCTGGAGGGCGAGGCATCGGACGCGCTGCACGTTGGCGCCGTCCTCCTTCGAAGGCCCTGAGCCAAGCGGTAAGCGGCGAAGGGATTTCTCAACAAAAGGCAACCAACTGCCACGCCTTCCAGTACTTCCAAGACCTCGCCCACTTCCAAACCTCACAGCCGCCCAGCCCAGGCGCACCGCAAACAAACACCACCGCCTCTCTCTCCCTCTCCCTCTCTCCCTTCTCCAATCTCTCCGTCGTCTCTAAGCTCCTCACGGCGAACGGTTTTGGACTTGATCGAGATGTCTTCGGAAAGCACTGTGCCCTGGCGCGGCCGCACGTGCGTGGAGCTGAAATCTCTGCTTCGAGACTTACAGCGTTCCTCCTTGCATGGCTTCCGAGACCCGGCCAGATCGAAAGATCTTAAGCAAAGTACCGATGCCATGATGTGAGATGTCATCGCACGCCATGCCCAACAGGCAAAGCCGAAGAGCTCTCGGGGTCAGCAACTGCTGGAAGTGCTTCTGTGCTCGCTTCTGGGGAGTGAAGTGTTCAACATCACCTCAAGAAACACCGCAGCACTAATTACTCAACCGCGCAACTCCACATAACCGCAAACTGGTTGAGTTCGGTGTTGCACGGAAGCGAGAGGCGAGTGCGAAAGTTGAAAGGATGATTGCTCGCAGCTTCCGTTGTGATGGTACGTCTGCGCAGGGCTGCGTCTCGGTCTCTGCCCAGAAATGCCAGCCTTGACGCATTTGAAGTAGAAGCGGATCAGCTCCAAGAAGCCGGCCTTGCAGAGAGAGCAGAGGGCGAAGAGACTTGCCGGCCGCATGCAGACCTTCTCCAACGTTCCGCCGCTGGCACCTCTGAAAGAGAAGACAGGGAGAGAAGAGACAGAAGAGAGAGAGAAGAGACCGCGAACAGACAGAAGATATAGAGTTGAGTATCACTTGCAGCTCTCAAAGACTCGTTCAGCGTTGAAGCGATATTCCAACAAAGCTTTCAAGGCACCCTCTCACCCCCCACGCATCATCGCTTGGAGCTGAAGCAAGAACAGCAGAGAGCAGCAGCCCCCTTGAAGGACTTTGCACCAGTTCAAAGCAACCAATTCGCGTGCTCCTTCCCGGAGATCTGCGAAGCATAAATCGGCCGGGTTCCTACCTACGGGCACCTACGGGGCTCAACGCAAGTGCACCTCTTTTCGGAACCACAAAAGGGCTGCGGTGCGCAGTGGTAAAAGCGTAACTGTACATGTGCAAAACACTCAGGGGCAGCCCAGCTCAAGCCCTTGGGTGTTGGGTAAAGGGATTCCTACGGGATAACTCGCACCCCCCTCCAATGCCGAGGGTTTGGAGACCTACGACCCCCGGCTCCTGAACCAGAGCTTCACGACGGGGATGCGGGAGCAGCCGCCGACGCGGCAGCCCCGCCGCCACCAGCGGCACCCCAGAACATCAACAACTGGGTGGTGCGGGCAAGGCGCCGCCGACTCCAACCTGGAACGCGCCTTCCCCCTGTGCCGCAGCACAACTTTGGGGAACTGTACTATGCCCCGACCAGGCGCACGGTTCATCTTTACAGGAACTGCGTCGGTCTGGCATCGGTGCCCCAAGGCAGGATCATCACTGAACATCTCTGTTTCACCTGTTGGGGTGGAATGATCATTGGCCACAGGTGGGAGGATCTGACTCACTTTCTTGTGGTCGGGGAAGACTACACGCCTCACGTGTTTCCGCACTGTACGGAGATACGCGGGTGGGCCCGGCAGCTTCCAGTCTGCAACCACTGCAGAAGCCATCACTTCACACGTGACGGCTGATCAGTGCGGGACCGCCCGAACGGGGAGGAAGAGGTCTTCGACTGCTACCGGTGGCGTGGCCACCTCCTCCGGGACTTCTTCGCCCCCGGGTTCTTCTGGTAGCTCCTCCTCGGGTTCCTCTGTGGGTTCGGAGGGCTCCTCTTCTGGCTGCCGGCCTGTCGGCTGCCTCAGCCGTCGCAGCGCTCGGCTGCACCACCCGGTCACTGTTCTCACCACAAACCACAGGATAACCAACCAGGTAAGGATACCCAGCAGCATGGTCGCCTGCAGGGCCCATTGGATGATCTCCTCTTCACGTGGCTGTGCCCTCACTCCAAGGATTTGGTCCGCCAAAATGGCGTTGACGATGGCTATCGTCGGCCTGAAAGGGAGAACCGGCTTCCATTCACTAGGCGGGTTTTCCCGCACAAGCTTCACCGAGTGCCGTTCCGCAGCGGAAGCTCCCGCAACCAAGGTGGGATCCACCATGGCAAAGGATGGCAAAGCTTGCGCAACCTCGTTGCCTATCTTGGCGTGCTTCGTGAGGAAGTTCGCCGGGTTCTCTGTGCCCTTCACTTTTCTCAGCAAGGCCTTTCCGGCCTGGACGGCCCCTTGTACATAGAATTCGGACACATCAAGGTGTCTCAGCTTCGTGCCTGGGCCGATCCGCCTTGCTGCTGTGATCCCGGTGCTGCTGTCGCTCCAGATTCTCGGGATTTCGACCTCGAGTCCAAAGTCCAGCGTCGCCAGCTCGTGGACAAAGCGGGCCTGCCGGCAGGCGCGGCTTATACCGCGGAGCTCGGCGTCTGGGCTGCTTGTTGCTGGCAGTCCCGGCTGGGTCTGGGTCGCTGTGGTCACGACAGCCCCACCGAGCACTACAACATGGCAGTCTGTGGGTCTCCACACAGCCTGCCCAGTCACTGTCACAAAAGACATCTAGCTGGAGCGTCCCGTCGCGGGCTCCGGGATCAAGGGCTGTTACCCTCACCAAAGAAGGGTGCTGCTGCAGGTACCTGCCAAGCATCTGGGCTTGGTTCATGTCACAGCGCCTTGGCGCAGACATGTGGCGAGCGAGCTCTTTGACCGCGTATTGGATATCCCGGCGGTCGGCTGAGAGATAAATCCCCGAGCCCACTGCTGATCGGTACCTGGCGGCGTCTCCCGCTTCCAGGGGAGTGGTGTCACTCAGGTCAGGTTTTCTGGAGGGTACCGGTGACTTCTCACCTGGCTTCAGGCCCAAGGCCTTGATGATGTTCTCCGCGTGCTTCGGGCCCGGAGCTGTGAGGATACACCCAGGTAGTCGGGTCTTGGTCTTGCCTAGAACCTCGACTGAAACACCTTCGGCCTCAACATCGACATGGTGCACTATGACAATGCCCGTCTTGAGGCATCTGTAGACGCATGGGTCCTTGACCCCACGCCTAAAGTCGTAGCGTCCGGTCTCCTTGAGCTTGACGCAGAGAAGCTCTTCTAGCTCATCTCGGTACGGTCCTCCTCCCATAGAGGTTGCCATCCAGTCTCACAAGCATCTGGTCGAAACTCCAGAGGCCGGGCTGCTGCTCTGGCGGCTGTGCCCGCACCCATTCCTCTCAGATGGGCCTCCATTCTGGAGGGGGTCGCACGTAGACCCACTTCTCCTGTTGCGCTCCACGGTCTTGCCCTATGAGAAAAGCCGCGACGATGTCGAAGGAGCGCGTGGCGCAACCTTTCTGCAACGCCGTGATCTCAAGCAGGGCGTGCGCCTCTGGAGTCGGCGTCGGAACACAGACTCGAAGGTCCTGCTCCTGTTCTTCCGTGTAGGCTCGGTCTACGTCAGCACAGGTGAACTGTGACTTCACCGTGCCCTCCTTCACCTTGTCGACCACTTGTAGTGGAACACCTGCGCGTCAGCAGGCTTCTGACGTCTGTGTACCGGCGTGAAGTCGCCCAAGCGCCACAGCTTCTGAAGCTGGGCCAGCCTGGCCTCCTGCACTGCGGCAGGGTCCGGACAGGAGTCGAGCAACTCCATCACGGAGGCCAGGCGCTGCTGGACACAGCGGGATCGCCCACCCAGGCCTGCAGGGTAAGGTGCTGCTCGTGGAGCTGAGGGGGTTGCTGCCGCACTGGCGGAAGCCGCACCAACGGATGTAGGCTCCAGCGGGTACTCTGCCATGGGAAGCTGTGGCTCGCCCTCTTGCTCTCTGTAGTCGTCCGGCGGCAGCCGCTTCCAGAGCCCCACCCGGCCCTGGCGTAGGGCCCAGGGCACGCCAGCGACGGTGCCCATCAGGGTCCTGTTGGCCTGGCCTTCTAAAGGAAAGCGCCTCGCCAATCTCGGTCAGGACAATGTGCGTGTTGTCTCTGTCCAGCTTGCCCACCCAGATGCCTCGAACCCAACGTCGCTGCGACTTGGTTCCTGGTTTCGGGAGCTTGGCCATCACGGTTTCACCGAAGCGGCAAATCGTCGAGAGGTGCTCGACCCCATTAACGATCTTGTAGGCCGTCATCTTGTCCGTGGTTCGGACCTGAAACCTCGCCGCCCACAAGCCAGCTGTGCTCCCCCTTCCACCGCGCCTTGGCTCTGGTGGGAGTAGGGCGGTGCTTCCCGCACCTTGACCTTTTGTGGGCCCAACCGGGTTCGGATGGCGTGGGCCACACTCCTCAGGGACCCTTCTGCGTCAATCTGCAGGGTTACCCGCGAATGACCCAAAATGTTCAGGTACTGCTCCACGGTGTCCAAAACGAAGTTCCCACACTCGGCTCACCACCGCTTCGAGTCCCCTTTCTCCTGTGTCGGTTTTCCTGCGGCGCTGCCCGCCACGACCGGCGCCCTGCACGCACTCCGGGCACCACGGCGCGAAGGGCAGGTGGGTCAGCTTCTGGCGTCGGGTCCAACGGCATGCTCTCTGTGCGGGGTTCCGGGTCTGGCGGCGGATCGCCTTCCTCGATGTTCGCGAATACAGGTTCCGTGGCTATGTGGAGTATGGCAAGCCAGGAGCCCCATGGCAGGGTTACCAGCTACAGTGATGGAAGTGGGCGATTCGGGCTCCGAGGCGATTACATTATGGTTCCACAAATGCTCACTGCGCGAGTCTCATTCTTCACATTCTGGGGACTCTTTGCAGTCCATGCTAGATAGATGGAGTCAGCAAACTCACGTATGTGCTTTTGTACATCCTCCTCATGTTCTCGCGTTGCGTCTGGAGCGGACAGTTCAGTCGGAGCAAGTGGGTATTGTGAAGCATGAGTTCAGGTGCTCATTGGAGCATCCTCGATTGCAGATTCCTCAGTTCATGAATGATCAAACTGATGTGCAACATTGCTCTTACGAGATCGTGGGTGGTATATGTCATCATGGACCAACATATTCATCTGGACACTATCAGGCTTTTCTCTATGCTCCAGCGAGGGGCGTATGGATTTGCGATGATGACAGGCCTGCGGTATTCCACACGCGAGCTCCGGAATGGTTAGAACGCAAAGTTTACATGATCTTTGCTCGCAGGAGCGGTGAGTGAATCCAGACATGCATCATGCTTCTTGTACAGAGTGCTTTTGGTGAATTGGGATTCGCTGCACTGGAGTTGTGATGGTAGTTTGATTCGCTTGTGCATCTATGGAGTGCATTTTGCACTTGTTCCTACAATGTTAGCTAGCGCTTTGTGTGATAACACATGAGCGAAAATAGGCACGCTTCGAGTTCTGTACAGTTCGCTTGGCTCTTCGGGGCGGTTCTGTTGTTGCCAGTCCAAGAGACTGTGTTACTGAGTTGACACAGTGTGCTACTTCAAGTACCGGGCATAAACATGCCTGCTCAAGACCTGCCGCTTGGCAGCTTCGACGCTGCTGCGATCAAAGTGACAAAAGTTGCCACCGGGGTCGGCCTGGGGCGCTTTGCGTTCCTCTTCGGCGGCGCGCTCCGCACGGGCGAAGTCGGCGACTGCCTGTGCCTCCGGGTCGTCCGGGTAGTCTTCCTCTTCGTCCCCAACGGCGGCGATCCTTGCCTTCTTGCGGTTTCGCCCGCCGCCTGTTTCGGATGAAATCCGCTCTCGAGCCGTCTTCCCATTCGATGTAGGAGCCGGCGGCGTCG